CTTTTTCCACTTCACCCACACATAGTCATATATCGCATCCAAGACTTCTTTTTTTTCAAATGTCCTTAGCGTGACCTTTGTCATTTTAAGCATTTTTGAGATTTTTTTGGCGTCAGATTGTAGCATTTGATTTTCTAAGGCAAAGGCAGTTTTAAATATCGATGGTTTCTAGCTGAAGTTTTGTGTTATAGCTGATTGTTTGTGTAAATCATCTTTTTTTAATATGTAGTATTTGTGATGAGAATTATGTGTTTGTATGTGATATGAGAGGTTTTTGTGTTGCGTATTCCACAGAAGATCTTGTAAGTGGTGGTCTGATGTGTTGTATAGGTTCCGATCGATATTTGAAGAGAATCGGGTTTTCTTTTTTTTCATCATTGGGTTTATGTAGGGTGTTTGTGTTCACTTTTGCTTTGAGTTTTGTTTAATCGGATGAGTTGTAGGAGGTCGCGTGTTATGATTTTGTGGATATTGTCGGTGTTGAGTTTATGAGCAACATGAAACCGTTGATTAGTGCGAAAGTTTTTGTTGCAATCTGGAAAGGGTTTTACGATATTTTTATAATGTTTGTGTTGAATGAGCTTTTTTCGTCTGTAGATAAGTGTGCGATATTAGTTTTTGATTAGTGTATGTTGTGTATGTGATTAAATTGTATAAGTTTGGAAGTGTTGCAACATTAGAGATTGTTTATAGTAGTTTATTTTTCTGGCTGTATTGTGGAAGTTAGTGCAATAGTATCTTTTGTTTGTAGTATCACCATTATCACTGCTCATTCCTAAAGATAACAATTAATAAAAGAGTAGTGTATCAATTCATGTTCACTAACATATGTCGAACAAGAAAACTATGTATCATATTGTAGATATATTTCAAGGACTTTTACGCAATGAAAGATTGGCAAGAGTATCAACAAAGAATTAATAAAACGTTTTTAGCTTTTTTATTAAAACTGATTTGCCATATGGATAAATGACAGCATTCTTTTAGCAGTGTAACGGAAAAGTGATACAATAAGCTTCTGATCGATGTATGTAAGGTACGCGAAAGGAGAAATATTATAAATTATTCGGATAGCAGCGAAACGTAATGTTTTGATGAATAATAATAATAATAGTAATAAGTGACAATAAATGTATTTTGTTACACAGGAAATATACATACTATATTCTGTTCGTATACATATCACTTCGTTTGTAGACTTTCAAGATTCAGACTCTATTCTGTCTTCAAGTCTCAATTCAGAATGGCTTCTAATAATGTCACACTTCGTATTTCTATACTACGTGTTACAGTAACTGAACACAACTATCAACTCACTAGTCGCTGAAAACATCGGACAGATGGTATAAAGGAAAAACACGGAGAGTAATAAAAAAAGAACAAGTCAAGAGGAAATATATCGCAAGGCAAAAAAACAAGAAACACACAATAGGGAAGAAAAACATCACGTAATAGTAAAATAGACAATATCGTGGCACTATTACAAACCTTATTGAAACTTTTACTGATACATTCATGATCGCCTATGTGTAAGTTCTTATTGAGGTGCTTACTAGCGCCCTTAATAGTACCCTTCGAGCGCTCTCACTAGCATCCTTACTAGCTTCCTTACTAGCACCCTTACTAGCACCCTTACTAGCTCCCTTACTAGCATCTTTTTCTTTTCTTTCCTTCTCGTTCACTGTCTGGCGTGGGTGTATAAATAGTCGCACATTTACCATTGTCTGGTCATTCTACACTGGTCAACTAACGCAGTAAGTACAATTTTTTACACTAGTGTTTATACGTATTATTTTTGTGCGTTTTTTTTTTCTTTGTGTGAAACTCGATATACTGATTTTATTTTTCAATAATATCCCTCCTTCTCTTATATTATCTATCTATTCCGATTCCTTCAATGGATTTTCATGCTGTACTTAAGTTAAAGTAGTTTTTTTCAACAATATTCTTTCTACTATTTATGTTTCAGATATTGATATTCAAATAAAGTTTCAACATGGAACAGGATCAAAATATTAAATCAAATGTAACCAATCTCGAAAAAGACGAGTCGTTAAAGAACGTCTCTCAAAATAAAAATTGTACTGATCGTCCAACAACTTTAAATACGGTAAGTTTTATTTTTTTAGCACAATAATTTCATCATCTGTCTAGACAACAAGCAATACATCTCCTCATCATAATATTCGGCGTTATAATATTGATGATATTCGTACAACTCCATCACCAATCGATCAACGATATCGTATGTTTCAAGCAGGTAGTATTATTAGTCCAACTACATTTGCACGTGTAGAAACAACTGTTTATAACAAAATTAATGCTAGTGAACAAGGTTCTGACGATGATGATGATGATGAAAATAATGAATATATGTCAAATGAGACAAATGCAAATGATATTGAACATTTAACTCAATTAATTATTCGTGAAAAACCTAAGGAGCATAATGAAGTGGCTGATGCTCTGATGGATTTATTACAGTTAGTGAATAGTCCCATAGTAACAACAACAGCAAGTTCAATGATGACAGATACGAACGACAACAATATTGATCAAACACCAGAAATGATTATTACTTCTTCATCTTCAGATCATCCATATCCACCTATCAATCAAACAGGTATCGTGACAGAACATGATCGACCTTATGCAGATTATGGTCATCTTAGTATGTAGTATTATAAATTGCATATATATTTTTGTAAATTACTTTACAATTATAGATATTGAAGCTCTTACTGAAGAATGTCAATTTAATGTTGATATTTATGAAGAATCAAATATAAATAGTACTAAACAACAATCTTCCATAGGAAAGAAACGACTATCTACTAAAACATATGCTATTACTGCTTGGACTAATGTATCTAGTAAGTTAAAATATGTTTTCCACATAGTTTTATATTAGTTGGTCTAAAACTTTGTAGAGGACATTGTTATGGCAGAAATTAAACGAAAATTTGGAGTTGAAAATATACAATATATATGTGTAGGCTATGAAAACAGTCCTAAAACAAATAATCCACATCTTCATATACAAATTATTCTTAGAGAAAAACGTAGTAGACAAAGTGGTTTTCTTGATCAAATTACAAGTATGTATTTTCCAGTGATCTTTTGAATATATATTTAAAATAACAAATCTTTTTAGATACACATTGTAATTATCAAATCACAGAAAATGATAGAGCTTGGAATGAATATATTAAAAAAGGTTAGAAGTATTATTCCATTTATTTTACTAATATTCAATAGAATTTTTCTACAACATTTAGGTGGTGATTACATTGAATTCAATTCATTTAAATCAACAACAAAATGGGGTACTCAATATTGGCCATCTCAATCATCATCATCATCATCATCAGTTGCAACATCCAATAATATACCACTACAATCTACAATAACTGCAGTCGATCTTCCTTCTCCTCCTCCTCCTCCTCCTCCAAGTATCACTTCGATTAGAACTACTACTGCTGCTGTTGCTACAACTACTGTCAGAGGACGCGCAGAAGAGCAACGAAAACAAAAACGAGCCATTGCAAGACATGCATTTAATTTAGCTAAGACAAGTATCAGAGATGCTCTTCAATTCATGTTAGAGAATTCGGACCCACTTGATTTTCTTAAATATGCTACATGGTATGAATTATATAATTATTGATGCGATCATTATTCTATTCTTTTATATCATGTATTCTTAGGTACAAAAATACATTTAGTGTTATTTATTTGTTATATAATGATACAGCTAGTCCTGATACTACTGTCAAAGAATATACATGGCCAGAATCATTTCCTGACTGTACACCAACATTACGTATGTATAGATACATTCTTTCACAATTCTTTTTCTTTTGTTTTGCATTAAAATAACTAGGTGATGTCGTTAATCAATGGTATACAGAAGAATTTGTAAAGACATCACGAGCTAAATGTTTAATTCTAATTGGAGGAACTGGTACTGGAAAAACATCATTTGCTAAATCATTACCTGGCCAATATAATTATTTTCAAGGACGATGGCGATTAGATAGTTGGAAGAATTCTGCTCATTATTTAATTTTTGATGATATTCCTTGGGATCAATTTGAACAATTAGGGTTTCCATCTAAAAAAGGTTTATTAACACAAAATGGTCTGACAATGGTATATTTTCTTTCAATTGTCTTTCTTTCCCTTTATATTTCTTATACGTACAATAGGCTACAGATAAATACAGACCAAGTACAAAAATTAATATTCGACAACCAGCTATCGTTCTTTTAAATGATGAAGATGCTGGCTCATTAATTGCTCAACCTCCTCTCACAGTTGAACAACAGCAAACTTTTAATTATTGGCAACATCGAGCGATCATCTATCATATGGGTAACTAACAATGAGGAAACATTGAAAAAAAACTATACTGATTTCATTTTTCTATTTTTTAAAATATAGGACCTGATGAATATTTCCATAAGCCAGATTATTATCAAGCTGATAATATTAACCAATAACGTTCACGACACTAACGTCTTAAATAATAGACAATATAACTCTTTCTTCTACCCATTTTTTTATTCTTTTCTCTCTCATTCTCTTGTTTATTTAGTCTTCATTGTTTCTTTCTTCATTGTAGATATATACATATCAAGTTCAATTTCTTCGACTGGCTTAACATTCCATACATCATCAAAAAGATGACCCTTTTCCAACGACTTGCCAATAAAGAATTCAATGATGAAAATACAAGAATTATCGAAAGGCTTTGTGAATTAGCCAGAACAACAGTCGATGGCGCTATAAGTCAAATGTTTCTCTATTTACCCGATCTATTTCGTGTTCGTCAAGAAGAGTATGTATTTTTCATTGATAATATGACTGATTGATTTTGTTTTAAAGATTTTTTGCTACATTCAATGATATTAATCATCGAGCTGAACGAGATGCCTATCAAGCTGGTCATATACATCCTAGATATACATGGCCAGTATCATTTCCTACTTGTACATCTAATCTACGTATGTATAACACAATTATCAATACAATTCACAAGATATTATTCTAGGACAATTTGTCAATCAATGGATTGAAAAAGAATTTTCCAATAAAATAGCAACCAAATGTCTTATTTTGATTGGACCAGCTAATACAGGTAAATTTATTATCTTCTTAGAAAATTCGACTTGTTTTGTATGCATTTAATTAAACAAGGAAAGACAACGTTTGCTCGAGCGTTACCAGGTTTTTATAATTATTATGATGATGCATGGAATCCTGATGCTTTCAATCCATATGCACACTATACTATATATGATAATTTACCATGGGATGAATTTGAAAATATCGGTTATCCAGACAAGAAACATCTATTTTTTCAAGGTGGTCGAATCCATGTATGTATATATGAATGACAATTTCAGTTTTATCATTGCTTTTTTTATCTTGAGGGTGTATAGACAATTAACAATCGTGGCAAACCAACTATTGTTGAAATTTATCAACCTGCTATTGTACTTCTTAATTATGAAAATCAAGGTTCATTAGAAGATATATCAAGCAATGCCGATCCCATCGATCATAACAATGATAATAACTTCTGGAATCAACATTCTTGTATTTATCGTATGAGTAAGTTTCACATTTCAATATGATTTATGAAGGAATAAATAAATCAATTTTATTTGATTTTTGTTCTTCAATTTTAGAAGATGATGAATCATTTCATACACCTTAAAAATATTCGTAAATCTTTCTTTTTTATTCAATCTATATATTCAAGCTTTCGTTTTGTCAATGTATTATTTTTTGTTATATATTAACGATTTTGTCTGACCTTTTACTTTTCACTTACCTATTATCTATATCAAATTCTAGATAAAATTCTTTTGCTTTATTAACAATGGCTAGAAATAATGATATTGTTGACAAAGAACAAGTAAGAAATATTTAAATGAAACTATGTCTAGTTTGAATATATTATAGTATGATGATTTCGATATATCAGAAGAGATGTACAATGAAATTGAACTTGATAATGATATCATCGATGCATTAGAAGAAGAAGATAAAATTGTTGGTTTCGACTCCAACTGTTTATCACAAAAATTAAGTCAATTATCGACTTCAAATCAACGTCAACAAAAGAATGGACAACGATTGGATAAAACTTCGCGTTATTTATCTAATAAGAATGAACGTTTAAAGAAGTTAATTAACGAAGTATTATCAACGGTGATGACGACAACAACAGCATCTTCGATACCAGTACACAACGAAGAAGATTTACGGCAAATAACCAGTCTAACACATAAAATTAGATCCGAGCAAATTTTTCAATCATTATGGATAACCTATTGGAAATCAGGTATGGGTCAATTGATAGAAAATCAAATAGGTCCAACAATTTGGCCAGTGATAGTTAAAACAATGGCCAAACAAGCAATTAATGCAGGTGCAAGTGAAAATGACGCATGTATGTCATTAGTTCATGATCGTCTACGCCAATTTAATCACAAAATACAAAATCATCAAACAGAATTGGGTCTTCTTAAAAGTCGTTTGCCAAATGATCATCGAGAAACAGTTTATCAAACAATTGAAACATTAATCGTACAAAAACTAGAAAATTTACGTCAAAAAATTGAACATAAAATCACATTGGTTCAATATGATTATAAAGATCGAGCATTGGAACTTGAATTTTTCCAACAAAATCCAAGTGATCATTGTGTAAGTAGAAGAAAATTAAATCTTTTAATCTTTGTTCACTTCTAAATTAGATCAAATTATATAAACATCTTTATGATGTCAGATATGAACAAGATGTTACAAGAGAAGAAGTACAATTAGTTAAACAACGTATCTATCATTATAATAATTCTCCGAGATCAAAACTACAAATTTCACATCCAAGATTTATTACTACAATTAGTAATCAAGATTTTCAACAACAATTAAATAATCAATTAACAAATGCAGTTGAACAAGCCAAAAACGACATATTAAATCTTTATGTTAAAACAGCCGAAACTCAAATGGAACATTATGGGAAGCAATACTATGACAAAGAATTAGACAAAATATTCGTTGGAAGAAAATCGTTACCTGTTGATCAACAATTAACTACTATTATGGTTAATCTACTTGAAGAACGTGCTGATAATAGAAAAGAACGTATTAAATATGTGAATCAATTTAAAATTCATTGTCTTCATTCGAACTCTAATCATTAATAGTTATTCAGCTTTTCTTATACACTTGAAATAAAAAACAATAACTTACTGGTAATCTAATTGTATATTAAATAAATTTCTTTTTGTTTCAGAAATAAAATGAATATTGACAATACGACAAATACAACAACTAATATACAACTTGTACAAGGACAACAACATAGACGGAAGAAAAAATGCTATGGTAATCGGAGCGATCAACGTTTTCGAAAGCGTTGTCGTAATCAAAAAATGAGCGAAGAACAGATAGAACAATTTGTTAACCAACGAATAAATGCTCGTAAAACAAATCCACCATATCAAGCTGTTGCTAATAGACAACAGATGAATACAACAGTGTCAAATATATCTATCGGAGTAAGTAAATCTGTTTACGATAGATTCATTTTTTATTGTTTTTCCTTCTTCTCGTTAATAGCATGAATTACCATTAAATGAAAATAGAACAACAACGACTATAAATATAAAATCCAATAAACGTAAAAAAGATGCTATATCAAAAGAAAAAACATATAATGTTCCTAAATCAACGAGTACATTATCAGTTCTTCAACCGTCAACAAAGAAGATGAAAAAGAAAAACAAGAAAAGACGACGACGACGACGACAACAAAGAACAAGAAAAATGAAGAAAATTATTAAAAATAAGAATTATCAGTATATTTGCTCATCTTTTTTTTTCTAAAATTATGTCATGCCTATCTCTTTATTTTTTCTTTCTTTTATATAGACCATCAGGTTATTTAAGGGCATCCTCTCAAGCGTTAATGAACACTTTAAGAAAACATCTAAATCATCCTCTTAAAAAAAGAAACGAACAAAAATTCGTCTATTCGCGATTACATCTGTTCGATGAAGAATTTGCTTTAGATCTTAATCGATATTTATGGCAATCATATTTGGAAATTGGATCACAACAACAACAGCCACAAATCTGGCCAGTAAGTGAATAAAATGAATTCATCCAATATATATATATATACACTTCTTTGATTTTAATCTTTAGAATGAAGTTTATAGAGCAGCCAAAACCAATGAATCTAATTTATGTCAACAATATATCGTAGATTCTTTAAATCAATCAAAAACTTACCTTGATCTATGCTATGCTAAATTAAATACGCAAGCTCAGTCATGGATATCAACACTTCCTTCGCTGGACATACTCGATGATAATCTTAAGAAATTTGTTCGCCAACAAAAAAAACATTCATCAACAAGAATAAATAAGCAATTAAAACAATATAAAGATGTTCTAGAAGAAAAAAAATCATTTCAACAAATATCACTCTATCTAACACCAAACGATCGAGTATGTATATAAATCTGTTAATTTTCTTTCATTTTGATCAACTTTTTTTTATCTATCTGAATAAGATACTTGTGGATGAATTAATTAACTTGCAACAGCTACAGATGCAACTTATGGAAGAATTTGCTATGTTAGAACAACGAATTATTTGTAAATTATTACCTCAAAACTTCGATTCTATAGACAATTTAATTAAACCTCCTCTTTATACACCTTTACTTCAGGATGTGACATCGATTGAGTTCAAAATTCAACATTACAAGATTATACAACAAATAAAACGTACATGGTTAAATATTTACTTTAATGCTTATGAAAAGAAGATTCAAGAATATGAAGAACAATACATTGAAAAGTTACATAATCTTCAACTACGATTTGAATGTAAAAATAATGTCAATCGAATATTTCATCTCAATTCAATCAAAACTTATCTACATAATCGAAAACAACGAACGATTCAACAGATCTATATCGATATGTCAGATTATCGAAAAAAATTACTAAATTATCGTAAACGTTCATCAAAAGCAAAGAAAACTATAGATGTATCTCCAAAACCAATTTTCTATCTATTATTTAATCCTTTCAATGATCAGGAACGTGATTATCTTTCTAAAGGTAAATATAGATCATGTGTAGCTCATCTCAATAGTTAGTTTTCTTTGTAATATGATGATTTCTTCTCTGTTTTTGTTTTTAGGCCCAAACTATATAAGAATGAATCAAAGTGCTGTTCCGTCCGATAAGAAACGAGACCATCTTATTAAAAAAGAATACAAGAATATTATTAAAAAAGTGAAAGATTACCTTTATACATACCATCATATAAATCGAGAAAAGCCGATTTATGATATATATTCAAAATGTCTTCAAAACTGTCTGAATCTCCGTTATATGACTTCGTTATCAATATCTGATCGAATTCGTGTACAACGTGAGTACAAAGTTGTCAAATCGATTCGGTTCAAATTAAAAAAGTACAAACTTATTCTTCGTGAAACCGACAAAAGTGGTGTATTTTGTATTCTTCGAGCTATTGATCATGAACAAAAAGTAAAAGAATATCGAGACAAAACAAAAGCTTACAAAGAATTAACTTCCAATCCATTTGAAGCAACGTTAAACAAGGTTATTCGATTACTTAATGATCTTCGTGCGAAACCGGACAAAATTAGAGCTTGGCAACAATGTGAAATGGTGCCCAATCGTAAGACATGTAAACTAGCTTACATGTATTTCAATCCTAAAACACATAAGGTAACAAAACAAAAAAAAGGCTAGTTTTCTTTTAATTATAATCGAGAACAATATATTTCTATCAAAATAAATAGGATGGTACACCACTACGACCCATTATGCATACTATTGATTCACCAACAACGAATATCTCACGACTTTTAGATCGATTCATTCGACCAATATTTAACAACAACGCTAAACTAACTACTATTATTGATGGTGCTCACCTCATTAAACGACTTCAAGAATATGCTAATGCTGGACATTTAAAACCAACTACTTTATTTTGTACTTTTGATATTAATAATTTATATACAATGCTACCACAACAACAATCACTTGATATTCTTCAAGAATTTCTTCAAACTTATGAAAAATCACACGTCAGAGGAATCGATATTGCAACTATTCGTGAATTAGCTCGTGTTGTTATAGAAGAAAATGTTTTTGTCTATCATAACAAATACTATCAACAGATTATTGGTGGAGCAATGGGATCACCATTTACATTAACTTTAGCAAATATATTCATGTGGAAATGGGAAAAAGAATCAATTTGCAAAGAATTACCTTCCCCCGAAATTTATGGCCGGTATGATATCTTTAAAATTTTGCTCAAAATTGATTTCTTCTAATAATTCTAGGTATATTGATGATATTTTTTTTACATGGAATGATACTCAAGAAAATCTCGAACAACTACTGAAAAAACTCAATAATCATCATCCTAATATTAAATTAGAATATAAAATAGGTCAAAGTCTTCCATTTCTTGATGTTCTACTTACGAATAATAATGGTGCTCTTTCGACATCTGTCTATCGTAAACCAGCTTCTGAACCTTATGTGGTACCATTTACTTCTGATCATCCTCACCATATATTTCGAAATATTATTCGAACTGCACTTTTACGTGCTATAAGATACTCTTCTACATTCGAAGCATTCAATGTTGAACGACGCAATATACGATTAATGTTATTATATAATGGGTAAGCTAATAAATCTAGAATAAACAATGTATAAATTGAGAATTTTAATTCGTTTAATAAATGTCTAGTTATCCATCAACATATATAAATAAAGAATTTCATGCATTCTTTAATCAATTCCATCAATACGATTCATATTCTTCCATTCTATCGATGATCAAAGACGAAAATCAATTTAACGCCATCCATAATCATATTGCACCAACATCTACCCATAGACAATCACAAATAGCTTCCGATATAGCATTGTCTCAAGTTAATGACAATGAGTACGAAAAGATTATGCAAATTCAAGCTACAAATCCAACGGCCAAGAAGAACGACAGAAAGAAAAAGCTCAAACGAGTACTATTTCTACATACCACATACGAGAAAAGATTACGATCTCTCAAACACGACATACATGAAACCTACAAAAATACTTTTAATGATTCAACTCTCAAAAGCATTAAACTGATTGTTGGAAATAAGAATAATCCAAAAGGAAAAACTGAATTCATAAGAAAAAAACGTCCACATGAATCCCTTCGTCGACATGATTTCATACCAAGTAAGTAACACTTTAGTAACACATACACTCATCCAATTAGATTCAAAAAACAATTATTCTGTTAAATAGAACGCAAACGTCCACCCAAACCCACAACAACCTGACAAATTTCAACATCTACTACAATATCCATCTTAGCAGTACTCTCCTTCATTTTACATATATATGTACAATTACTTTCTTCTACCTGCAAACTTAAAAAAAAAGAAACAATTATCACCATATTCAACCATAATTAACTTCATATTCTCCCTTCTTTCGGTTTATTTCAGCCCTATTATTTTCTTCTCTGTATTTCAGATGTAAGAATCAAAAGTCAACAATCAACATAACGCCACAACCAAACCAAATCAACTACAATCCGAACTCAATCAACAACTACAAATTAATCATGATTTCCTCACCCGATTATCAATCCAATCGCTTACAGTCAGGTAAGACCCGGTCGTGGTACGCTCTTCTAAATTGTATCACAAGTTTCTTCTAATTCTACACTTTGCTAATTGCGTTTTCATACAACAGTGTAGATGAAATTTTAGTTTAATTCTTAAATATTAGAATTAAGCAAAAATGTCTTAAGCCACTTGAGAAGATCCTTGAGCAAGATCGAAACCGGGCGTGGTACGCTCTTCTAAATTGTATCACAAGTTTCTTCTAATTCTAC